GGTGTTAAATTGCTCATTTGTTTGAAGCCAACAGAGACTATATTGGTGGTAATTGCGGTGGTACTTAAGTTTTCACCTGTGATTACTAGGAGAAAAAAAGAAAAAAAAAAAAAAAACTAGTCAAACTTTCCACTTAACATGGGACATTTTACTTTATATAAGTTAAACTTTGAAAAAGTGATTTAGAAAATAAGACATCATAAGGAAAGTGAAAAGATAAGCCACGAACTGGCAGAAGATATTTACAACATACAGCTGAAGAAAGAGCAAATATGTAAAGAGTTCCCATTAATCTATTAGAAAAAAAAGTGAAAGAATGGACAAAAGTTTGAACATGTGAATTATAAAATAGGATAGTTGAATAATCCATTTTTAAAAAGTAAAGAATCATTAATTTATTAACCGTCAGGAAAACGAAAAAACCAAAATATCATTACATATACCTCATGTTGACAAATATTTAGAAAGTTGGATTATCCCACCTGTTGGTGGGAAAATGGAGTCATGGGAATTGTCATATATTGTGAAATGTGTATGACGTTATTAGGAAACTGTTTGGCATTATCTTGTAAATCTACAATTTTAGCTATATACCCAAGAAAAAAGCTTAATATTAGTTCAAATGTACACCAACAGTAAAATAGATAAATAAATGTTCCATTTTTCTAATGTAGTGCTATACATAAACTAAACTGAACAAATCACAACCACATGGAACAAGGTGAATAAATCTCACAAACAGTATCAAGTAAAGACACAGGGCTCAAAATTGATTCCATTTATGTAGACATCAAAAAAGAAACTGAAACATTATGTTGCTAATGGATACATACTTTGGTGACAAAATGATAAGGAAAAGCTACAAAATACTTCTTGCTAAAGGGTACCTCTCAAATAGAGGAGAGGAGCTAGGAAGTGGCACACAGGCAGATCCTATGATACAAGCAGTATTTTATTCCTTATTGTTTAACAAGAGTGCCTGCTCTATTATTCTTGAATTTGTGTATGTATACCTGTATGTTCCTCATGTAGTATATAATTCACTACACAAATTCCAAATAGAATGTCAGATCATGTTCATTTTCACAAACTTTGCAATGCTTTCTGTGTCACTAGGAACACAAATTATCTTCCATATTGAAGACCTACTTTTATTTTCATTTTTTATATTTCTTTAAATCTGGGAGTGTTCTATACATAATAGGTTTGACTTTTAGTAGTTTCAACATGCCCTTTATTTCTTCTAAAGTAGGTTTCGGTTCTACAATTGTGCTCTATTTTTCTGTGGCCTGACCTCATCTCCTGTGTTCCTTTGACTTCTTTTGTGACCTTCAACTGGTCCTTGCTACCTACTCATTTTATTCTATTTTCTTCTTATGATTTTTTGCTTCTTTCTCACCTTTCCTTTTATTCTATTTTAAATGCTAATCAATCTTATGACATTTTCCTTCTGAATTCTCTATAATCATCTTCTTGAGTGAAAGTGATAAAAATAATAGCAGTAATAGCAGTAAAGTAACACCTGTGCTTATCTTTTCCTAAACACTTTTTACCTTCTAGTCACTATACTATATTAAGCACATTAATCCACCGTTTCACTAATCATTAAAAATATCATTGCATTATATTTACCATCTTCCTCTAGTGATGAATAATGCGAACTCCAGGAAGTCTGAATAAAAAGCTTCTACAGTGGTGGAAGGTTGACATATACATCTATTTGACTTTGGGATCTCTGCTTCTAAATTCTGTTCTAGACTACCACTCCGCTAAAATTATGTTTGAAATTGAAACTTCTGAAAATCCAACAATAGATTTATTTGCTTGTTACTAAGAGAGCTTAAGTTCTAAAAAATCTAGTATTATAAATTGCTAATAGTATAATCTATCCTCATTTGAAAGATATTTATTATTGATGCTTAATAGGAATATATGTATCTATATATAATATATTATAAAATCCTTATGGAACTTTCTTCCTCTCTCTAAGTGAATACAGTTGTATCTTAGTTTGGAGGAGAGGAAAATGTGAGATAAGTATTGTTTTGCCTTTCTTACTGGGTTACTTAAACCTAAATAACAGAGATATCATATTCTTCTGGTTATCTACTTGGTACAGGCTCTGAGTCATGGGATAGATGGCAGAAGGATTTGGAGGGTCTCATCTCTTTTCAGACCAGGTAGATCTGCAATGAAGCCAAACCACATTTTGAAGCATGAATTGAGTTTTCCTAATTCTGGTCCATCTAGTTTACAATTAGCTTAATAGTGACTGGATTCTAGGGTAAGTTCATCATCAGTGGTAGGGACTGCCAGATTCCAAGTGGCATTTTAATAAGAATTTTTGGAGACAATATATTACAAGCCACTGGGCAGAAGGAATTTTGAATCAGAATTTGATTCTGTCACCTAGGCTGAGATCTGATTTTTTTACTGCTTGCCCTCTGTATATATGATTGTGTACATTGTTTATGTGAATATGCTGCCTCTCCAAGCAGATCAGCAGCAACTTCAGAGTATGGTTCAGACTTCCATTTCTCTTGATTCGAGTGAGTAAATAGTTCATTAATTTACTAACATGAAGTAAGTATTCAATAATATGCTTGAGGACATTTCTTTCTCTTTTTATTTTTAACTTCTCTGAAATGTTAAGAGATGAATACGATGTACGAAATGAATACAGAAAACATTCCTTACAGTTCAGGATATTAATGAAACAGAAGAGAGGAAAAAAAAAAAAAGTCTGATGGAAAAGCTCTATGCAAATTAGCTACAAAACCATCCACTTAACACAATAGCCAGAATGTTCAATCTGAAATGAGTTGAGTCTAAAATATGTTGAAATAATCATTCTGAGAAAAGGAAATACTTGGTAATTTAAGTAATGCATATTATTCAGTAATATTCATGTCATATTTATTCGGCTGCATGTTTGTTATATTTTCAAATCATGTGTAATAATCCACATTTAAGAAATATGATAAAAACATTATTTGTCAAACTGACAAATTTATACTTCTTTGGACACTGATGAAATGCTACTTAATACACTTGTCAAATAAATAGAAAATACAAAATTGTGGATTGCTAATATTAGTCTACTCTCATTTCTCAGATGTTTGTTGTTGATGCATCATAGAAAAAAATCTCACTTAAATAGATCATTGTTTTGAATTGAGTTCATCTTAAAAATTGCAGACACTGTGGCCTATTTCTAAAATAATTCAGTTGTGAGTGATGATCCCTAATTGCCAGTGATAATGTAAAGACAGCATTTCCCTGGTGTTTTGCCAACTTTTAAGTCATAATGGAAACATTTACAATGGCCAATGGTTTCTTTCAAAGTGGAAATATTGGAGACTTTACACATGAGTAATATGATCAAAGTTTTGGAAATTAAGAACTGTTACAGAGTCTCAACATTTTGTGTGCGTCTATATGTGTGTATGTGGGTAAGAAAGATGTCTATAATACATGTGCAGTGCTCAGACATGTAGATAACTGAAGTTTGCCCATAAGAAAGTTACCATAACCTCAAAAGTATCTCTACATATAGGCAAGAGACATCAGTGATGTAGGAGTGAAGTCTAATGGGCCATGGGTACCTGGTAAATTTCATATTCTATATTAGAAAGAACGATTATCACAAAGTTGAACAATCAAGCTGAGAGAAGTACTAATTATGACAATTTTATGAGATTTAAAACAATCTAATTGTGGATTCTTTTCACATTCTACATCTTAAACTTCTAGATTCAGGCCAGGCTCAAGGAAAAAAGATGGAATTAGAGTGAGAAGATCACTCTACAGGAAGCAATATTTGTCACTGCCATGTATTTGCCATCCCCATGTCTTCAGATATTTGTGTGGAATTCACATATGAGTTTGACATCTACATCAAAAAGTATAATTTATTATTTTCATGTCCCTTTAATGTTCATTAAAATTAGGGATAGTTGACTGAGATTTGTATTCTTTTGTATATCAGGAGTCAATTAATTAATGGAAAAAGTCCTCACTTGTTTTCTAAAATATTCTCTCATACAATTTTAATTTTCTGTAATAATTGATTTTTTATCTGTGGAGACTATTATTCTTCTGGAAGAAAAAAACTATAAGAAACTATCTGCCTTCTGGAGATCACAACTTCGATGACCAATAGGTGACCAAATTTCAGTAGCCTTGGGCCAAATCTGTCATTTTCCCCTGACAAGCAACCTCCTTCTCTCTTCACCATTTTAGGGAATTGGTGTCTCCAAGCAGTCAGTCAGCAGCCAGGGATCTAGAGTCATTCTAGGCACCCCTTTCCTTTGTTACTCACAGTCTTTGCAAAATCATATAAATCACACATTTGCACCTTTTAGGAGTCTGTTCTCCGATATCCATCCTTACAGTATGGTGTTGGTCTATGCCATCGTCATCTCTTTGGGCTAATGAAATGTTCCTCTAATCTTCTATCAGTCATTCTACTACCCTGCATAATGGCTCCAGATCATCAGCCGATATAAATTAGAAAATCATTAAATTGCCATAAAAGTTCCACAAGATCCTACATAACTTGGCCCCGTCAACTTTCAGGCTCTCACCTTGAATGCTAATTGTAGTCTTCCAAATTTTATACAGTTTCCTAATAACACCGGGCTATTTCCTGACTCCTTTCTGTTCATGTTGTTCTTTGCTAAAAGTTGTCTCTACTTCTTTCATGATGCCCTTTCTCTGGCTTGAAAGCACCCATTTAATGAAAAATTTAACTATAGGTAAAATTATCACCCTTTCTTATGTCTCCTGTATACACCCAGGTCTTTCACAGCACCTACAACACTGTACTGCATAGATCTTTTTACTTGTCTATTTTTCCATGTTAGAATGAAAGCCCTTCAAGTGCACATGCTCTGCTTTATTTAATTTTGTTATCTTCAGAAACTTGCAGAGTTTTAGAAAGATAATAGGAGTTTAATAAGAGTTTATTGAATTGATAGATGTAGCAACAAAGTTAATACCTGAGTTTTCAATAGGTGTGTCAAGTGGATGTCATATTTTTTGATTACTGTTGACAGGCACTGTCTGGAAAAAAAAAAAACCAAAAAACTTTGTTTAAAATTGGGTGGGAAAACTTATATTATTCTTAGCATGAATATTTATCACAAGTTGTGTTTTTCCCCTGATTTTATAGTAGGCATGGTATAAAAAGGATTACCATTGACATAATTTTAAAAACATTTCAGATGAATACCTTATGAAGTATTTATAACTCGAAAGACTACAAACACATTAGAAAATTTTACAACTCCAAAGAAATCATGACAAATTAACCAAACCTTTCAAAGGCTGATAATTACATCAAACTGCTCTTAATTTAAAATGTAGGTTGCAGAGGGATCATAAGCAGATAATGGCAACTTGTTAATACATCAAGGAATGTTAAATATGTAAAATCCTGTAGAGATTTGCATTCTGAATTAATGGCATATAGTTGTAATAGATGGGGTTGTCTCTGACACCAAACCTCTGCATTTTTCTTTCCTAAGCTTCTCTTATTACTCCAGCTTTATCTATGCATAAGTGGAATACATGTGATTTGAGAAAGATTCTTCTGGGTTTCACTGCTCAAAACTATTTTCCCAAACATTATGGACTTTACCTTCCTATTTGTCCTGAAACTCCTGAATTTAATTCAATAATGGGTCACACACACACAAAAAACACAGCATTAAAAATACACCAATATATTTTACAGTAGCTGACTTCTTACTCTTTATTACATTGTCACTTTAGTTGGAGTTCATCTGTCATTTCAAAGATGAAATGCTTAAAATACATAAAAGTCAATGGAGAGGTAGGGAAAGAATAGAAAAAAATTGGGGCAGAGCAAATTCTTTAATATAAAAACAGTTCCTAAAACTAAAAAGACCCCACCCATGCCCCTACTTCAGTATCTACAAATATTTTATAGGAAAACCAATAGGAACTAGTAAAAGTGATTTGTCCCATTCTAGGAGGTAGTTAACTCAAAGCTCTTGCCATCCAGTGCTTGATTTTCTGAGGATACCATAAAGTGGTCTGAGGAGGGTCGGCAGAGTAGCGTTATGTCACAGAAAGCAAAGTCCTACAGCGTCCTTTATGAGGCTGAGACGGGACCTGCACTAGGTAACATTTGAGAAAGATAAGGAACAGAGAGTCACAAGGTAAAGGAAGTGGAAAAGCAAACTGAGAGTTAGAGACCTGGATTTAGTCATGGCTGTGGCATTAAATATCTATATGACGGCTGCCACATTTTTCAACTGCTCTGTGTTTTAGTTTCCTTACTGAAGGAGAAACAGTGTTGGGAGATGGCATCCTCCAGACTGTAGTCCACTCCCTGGGGTGGGGAAGGGGTGGAGGAGCTAAAGTCTGCAGTGAGGTGTCCCCGACAGGCTTCCTCTACTCCACACTGAAGTGGAACTTCGGCTTGGCCCTGACTCAACTCTGTGGACACCTGTACCTGCACCGTGGTCAAGGCCACCAGGGGCAGGCGGTGGCAAGGGTAAGACAAGAAGAGGAGAATGAAAATGTCCTCGTTCTAAGCATCTCACAGATTCTTCTTGCCTTTCTCTGCCCCAAGTAGCTGTCAATTACAAATCACAGCAGCCCCACACCCCAATGGCTCAAAATATTCCTTTGTCTTCCAGGGATTACCCACTTTTAAAAAAATCTGTCATAATTGACATCTCTCTCTCCTTCTCTCTGTGCTTTTATTTTTCCCTTGGATAAACTTATTTTGGAAAAAAGAAAGTAAAGTGTTTGTTAATAATATGCTATGTCAACAGGAACCTATACCTTGTTTATGTAACAAAATGAAAATTCAGATTAGATTGTGTCTAAAGTCCTTTCTAGTTTTAGCTGTTCTAAACTATCATTTTATGGTGTGAAGCTGGATTTTTTTTTTTGGGGGGGGGGTAAAGAGATGCACTCATAAAAAGACACAGTGTAATTTGCCTTTGCAAACTTCAGTCCTGCCACTCATGACCTTAGTAGCCTTGGGCAAATTATTTAACCTCCCAAAACTTCCATTTCCTTGATACCAAAGTAGGTGAATATGTACTATCACAGGGTCTTAGGAAAAATTAGATGAGATAATGTATGCAAAATGTATGATAACTCTGAAAAGTGATAACTATTATTAATAGTCACTACAACAATCATAACACGTCTTATATTTTATATCAGGCTTTGCTTTACAGATTTATGACATATACCTCCCACACCACATTTTTTGCTGGTTCAGTTCAGAACAACTTTTATTCCAGATATACTCAAACTATAGCACTGATATCTTCACCCAGGTTAGCTTCCTGATAGGCCTATTCTTCCATATAATACATGAATACATTCAGATGCAAGAATTAATTAAGATATGTACCTTTGCTGTCACTTGAGTTTTTGATTTGAATTTACACTCCTCTGTTTATGACATACCAATTATTTTCATGGAGTTCCAGAAAGGAATTTAAAGCAGGAGATAGTGACTTTCAAGGTATGGAAATTCATTTTTACAAAGACGTATGCACACCCAAACTCACAAAATGAATGAGGAAAAAAAAAAACTGAAAATGTTAATAACTAGCAGCATAGATATTTAAAATGCATGTTAGATTGTCCTGGAAGGTGTTAGCAGCTCTTCAAATATTTCTGAATAGCTGTGAAGAATAGATAATTATTAACAGAATTTGCCAAAGGGAGATATCATTAAAAGTACAATAGTTGGTACTAGTGAAAGGACAGTTTTTTAAATCAACTGAAAAATATTGTGATTTGGCATTTGAGAACTCAGTCAAAAAACAGTCTTGGAACATAAATAACATGTCTTACCTGGATACTTTCCAAATATGCATAAATTCTAGAAGTTGGTTCAGATAAAACTGACTGTGGTCATCTTCATGCTGTAGACAGCAGAATATATTAATATTTATAGAGTTAATATGAATAAGTACCAGATAAAAATAGGTCTGTAACTTCCTGCTGTCATTTTATTCACCCCTTTTGATAACCCTCATTCGTCATTGTTATGCTTAGTTTTAAAGACCTTACAAGACTCTCTTTAAATGTATAAAGCTTCTTTTCAATAGTAAAACAGAAAGCTGAGCATATGTTCAGGAGAAACCTAATGGACAGTTGAAAAACATCCCGGCATCACCGGCTAAGGTCAAACATTAATTTCTCCCAGTAACTAGGAAGGCATTTTTTTTTTTTTTTTTAATATTTAGACCATGAGTGTCACACAAGCAGGACCTACTTATCTTAAAATATCAGTCCTGTGGCCCATATGCATGCACATGCACATCCCTTAACTTTTCGACTAGCTCTTCCAGAACAGACATTCATGGAAACCCTATGCAAGTGTGCAGAGAATGCGATCTACTCCATCACCATCACCCTGTCTCACCACGTGGTGGCGTTAAGTTTGAGAGCTGAGTGAGTCTCTTAATGCCTGGGGTGTATGTAATCTTGTGTGTCAGTACACACACAATGTATTTTTAAAACTTCGCATTAGAGTTTCTGACAGAAAACATCAGAAGGAAAACCTTTATAGGGCTTATGGTCAAAGGAAAATTAATTTTACATATTGGTTTGTTATGTGAGGAGGAAGTTAAGGTCATCACTATAGAACAGTACTTTGAGGGCATGCTGTGAAAAAAAAACTACTTTGCAGAAACTCTAAGGAACTTGAAGGTATGAAGCTTACTCCTCAGGAGTTTCAATCTAGAGTCACTGAGACTGTGAAAATGGAAAATGTAATAGTGATAAGACCATTATTTTTATTTCGTTTTTTTTTTTTCTGTGACAGGGAAAGGAAAAATAGTAAAAAAACAGTCAAAAAAGATATGGTAAGATTTGAACTGGAGTATTTGGCACCTGCCTTCTTTCAGTAGTTAAAACCAAAGCAAGCATATACTTAATGTAACTTATTTTCATCTTTCTGTATATCATAATCATTCATTTAAAAAACTAGTTTATTTGGTTTCCAGAGATACTTTGGGGGGAAGATTAGCCTTTGCCATATTGCCATTTGCTGTGGATCAATGAGTCCCCCAAAAGTTCATGTATTGGAAACTTGATCTCCATCGTAACAGTGTTATAAGGGTGGAAAGTCTAGTTATGGTATTAGAAGGGTGGGTCCTTTAAGAGGTGATTCAATCACGAGGACTGTGCTTTCATTAATGGATTAATCCATTCATGGAGTAAAGAGTTGTCATGGGTGTGGTTCTGAAGGCTTTATAAGGACAGCAAGTGCGAAGGTTGGCTCTCTTGCACAGCCCATTCTCGTCATGTGATACCCTGAGTTACTGTAGAGCCACCCCCCAGGAGGAAGGCCCTCATCAGATGTGTTCCCTGGACTCTGAGCTTCCCCACCTCCAAAACTATGAGAAATAAATTTAATTTCTTTATAAATCACCCCATTTCAGGTATTCTGTTATATGCACATGCAACAGAAAACAGACTAATACACACTTACTGGAGTTTTTTTAAGTTTAAAGTATCTCAAAAGGCGAGAGGAAAATTTCAGCAGCTGTCTATCCAAATGTATCATGTACTTCACTTTTCTTCAATGCTAAAGCCCATTCCTTGGCCTTAAGAAAAAGTTAAAACCTTTTTTTCCCTTTTTTTTAATGCAGAAATTTATTGCTGTAAACGTTCTTTGAAGGTTCCTTTAAGCTAGAAGGAAATCTTGATTTTATAATTAGTATCTACAATATTGCAAGACTTTTGATCAAATTCAAGAGAGAGAAAAAGAAAACAAAAATTAAAAAAATAGAAATTCAGTCATTCACATCACACGTAATCAAGGTGGGGGTTTCAAAAGTTTGAAATCAAAGATGATTTCTAAAGATCATCAACTTGCTTTATAAATGATCTCTTGGAATAAGAGTTAAATCATCATTTTCAATATAATATAATCAGGTTTAAAATAGAAAAGCATCTAAGATGAACTGAGCTTTGCAATACCTTTTAAACTAGAAAACCAAATATATACTAAAAGGCAATGATGTCAATAAATTTAATGGAATAATAATAATCATTATATTCCTGGTGCTATGTCAAAAAAGAATACTATCAACTAATTTTACACTGTCTTATTAGAAGGATAATATAGTTGTTCCTAAGTGTTGAGCACATAGCTGAACTTCTGAAATTACAGAGAATTTTGGAACTGCTTTTAAAAGACAGAATCAAGAGAGAGCATTTACTATTTCCTTATGATGTATATATAAAGTAAAAAAAAAAGGGTTAATTATTTTAACTATAGCAATTCATATAATGAAGAAGAGTTAAAGGTTGATAAACTGTCTCAGCTAACTTGATCAACATACCACATACACTGCGGGAAGAAAATCTTATAAAACTTACTTTAAAACCAAGGCAATTATATTTTTATTTTTACTTTCTTGTCACATATAGAATTTGTAACTGACAGTATAATTTATCCTGCTCTATAGATATTAAACCTTTAAAACAAAAATTGTGATATATCAAAATTGTCGATAAATCAACCAAAAATGTGATACTGCGATGGATATGTTACTTTGACATAACACACCAAATGTCCAAGCCTCTCTGTAGTTTCAGCATCATGAGTAAATGTTTTACATGCTTAAATGAAAGGTAATGTTAATAAAGTTTTAGAGTTTTTGATAGTAAAATACTAAAGATAGCATACAGTCTAACACCCTAATTTTATGACATCAGTAGCTAATGCTCATGTAGCCCCACTAGGTGAAGGCACTGATTTAAGCTCTTTGCTTATATTTCTGAATTGATTTCTCATAATAACCATATCAGGTAAGTACTGTTATTATTCATATTTTTTTGATGAAGAAATTAGGGTTCAGAGAATTTAATACTTTGCCCAAGAGCAAACATTTGAATTGGGCAATAGAAAACAAGAATCCCTGCTTTTAAACAAGATGCCAAATTGGTAAATGTAACTCTTCTCATTTCTTATGGTCAGAGTTAGGCTCCAGGATTTAGACGTAAAAATAAGCACCACCGCTAGCCCTCATATTCATCTGCATCAGAGCTCCTGACTCTCAGAGCTATATTTTCCTTCAAAGCACATATCTCTATTGGACTTTATTATATTCATTTGTCTGTCTCTCTACTAAAATGTGAACTCTACCTTCTATCACAGATACCGAGATGTCTTTTTTTGTCTCCATATCTCCAGTGTCTAGAAGAGCATCATGGCAGGTGCTCAATTATTATTTGTTCAATGAACAAATGGATATCGATTTGTGCATATATATTTTCTAAAATGTAATTCTGAATTTTAACTAGGTTCACTAAACTTTTTTTTCACTTTATGAGATCCTTGAAGGCAAATGCTATATATGGCATGTAAAAAGTGTTCAGTAAAAATCTGTTAAAAATTAATTATTTTTGTATATGTGTAGTACTTAGCCCAGTTCCTGGCAATAAACCCTTAAAGATTTTAATAAAATGTAATATCTTCTCCTTTGAAATGTGATGCTAAAAATATCCTGTAAGAGTCAGGATTTGGAGAGATGAAGACATGGAATCCTTTCTGATGTTCTATGTGGAGGTTACCATTGCTCTCTAGCTGGAGGTCAGTGCCAGTTCAATCTCCTGTACAGTAAGTTCCCTGAGGGCTGAGATCTTGTTAATTTTGTCCACTAATCTAACTACTAATCAGTATAGAGCTTAGTATATAGCAGTTACCTAATGAATACTTATTGAATGAATGGAGGATGAACAAATACTGCTGCCATGAGGCACATTACGAATTTTTAAAAAATAGTGTCAGTGCTAGGAAAAGCTGTGAATGAGAAAAGGCATTTAAACTCCTTGCCTATAAGTTGTTGAATTAGCCAAGGGTTGATGGTATTTATTGTAGGAGCTAAAGGTTCAAAAGTTGAACCATAAAGCATAAAAAAGAACCAGGTAACTTAATTTCTTTTATGACTCAAATGACATATTGAAAAAAATAGGCATTTCTGGTGACAACTGCACACTGTGCACTCAGAGATGACAATTTGCTTGTCCCTGGACATGGTGACAATGGTGATGCCAACAAGCCAAAGATGCTGCATTGGCTGACATTATAATATAGTGACCAACTATAATTACTAACCAACTATCATGCCCCTGACTTTGAACAATATACATATAGCTGTGAAAAACAAACAGCTACATATACATAGCTTTTTTATACATAATACCCTGAAACTCACATCTAAAGCCTTGGAGCATATTTCTCATATAATTTGGTAGAATAATGGATGGACTCTAATGACTCACTCACTGGGCTGAAATCCAAGCTCCTCTGCTCACCATTTCCACTGTTATAATCTTGGGGAAAGTCCTGATGCCTCCCTGTGATTTAGTTTCCTTATTTTTAATAGTGTTTGCTCCATAGAATTGTTGAGAAGATTAAATGTAATAGAAATGTTAAAGTCCCAGACATAAAATATACTTGTATTCTCAATACATATTATATCAGAATAGTGGAATTACATGGATTTTAAAATAAACCTTAATTTTTACGAGACTGACATGTTAGTGATTTGTGAATTAATATCAATGAGATGTTACTTTTTTTGTTGTTAAGAATCATATATTTTCTCCTCTTCCTTCATATTGCAATGAAACATGATGATTTCTGCTTTTTCTTCAACAGCAAAGGCAATTTGAAGAATCTAAGTTTATTAATACTGAGGATATCAGTTGCACTTTTTAATGTTTCTTTGTGGAGATATCTGATGCATAATCTAGGAGCTGTCAACAGTGGCTGAGTTGGAAACCAGATCCAAAAGACATTTCTAAACAGCTCTCTTTTGGCCTCATTATGTTATATTCCACATAGATATATTGCAATTTAATGCATCACCTGACATTTTTTATGATGAAACACCTCATACTAGAAAAAGAAAGAATCATGTGCTGGAAATGTGTTATCTGATATAAATGACAGGGTGATGGGATTTCTGCTTAAAGCAGGTAATTGGAAGATTCTATAGATAAAAACTGCCAAAAATATCAAAGTTCACGGCATACTGTGCAATTTGGATTGAAAGTAACTCAAGACATCACACGGGGAATAAAATTCACATCCAACAGCTTGAAACTGTGTCATTAAAGCACAGTAATTTCTTTTTATGTAGTTTTATTATATATTATGAATATTAATTTGTCCTGATTTAAACTGTGTTGACACTGACATAAACAGCGTTCAAATAAAACAAGTGTGTTATTTTTCCACCATCATTCGTTTCCTCTTCACATTTTCTATTCCATTTACTTCTAAGTAAATACGTGGAAAGGATAAATATGATAACCTTAATAAGTTTCTTACAAATGATTTTTCAAAGAGAACAGTTGTTTTTTTATTATACTGAGTGTATTAGCCTGGGCTGCTATAACAAAATACCATAGATTGGGTGGCTTCAACAATGAACATTTATAGTTCTGGAGGCTGGGGAGTTCAAGGTAAGTGTGAGGGCTCTCTTCTTTGTGTGCAGATAGCTTCCTTCTTTCTGTATCCTCACATGGTGGGAAGAAAGAGAAAGAGAGAAAGAGCAAGTAAACTCTCTAGTCTCTCTTATAGGGCATTAATCACATCATAAGGACCCTGCTCTTCTGACCTTATCTAAACCTAATTACCTCCTAATGACCCCACTTGGGGATTACTAACACTTGGGGGTTAGAGCTTCAACATATGAATTTGGGGGGGACACAAACATTCAATCCATAACACTAAGGTTGCAGTAATGCATTCACATTATTGCTTCAGTCCAAATTGTTAACAGGCATTTAGGTTAAATATTTCATCATGTTTCAATAAATACACTCAAGTGAAAATGTATCCATTAAGCTATATAATTCCAAACTTGCAACAGTCCACAAAGAAAGGAATATTGTTCTTAAAACTACAACTTTGCTAATTGAAACCAATGCCAAGAAGGTCTTACCTTTCGAGATAACTTTCCTGGAGCTCCCCTGTTCTGCAGATGAAGCTGAATAACAGATTTATCTTTCTGAAACATTCTGTGGCTCCCCAAACATCGATCACTAAAGGAGAAGAAAATGAACAGTCTTTTCCTCCCATAATACCCTCGTGTGCATTTTCCTTCCTGACTTTATTTCCTTTTATTTTTAGAATTTAGTCCAGTAAAAGTAAACTGTGAATACATATGTGTATGCGTGTGTATATAAATAAAATGAAAAGAGATAGAGATCTAGATCTAGATCTAGATCTAGATAAATAAGACAAAATACTGCAGTTATTTTCAAATGCATTAATAAGTTAGAAAATGATCGGATGCCCTTAGAATGGTCATAATCAATTACAATAAAGAATATTTTACATATTCAAAGTTAGTTTTGTCCAGCTGTCTCAAAGTTGAGAACATGCTTCTGGGAGGTCTGATTGATGCCACCATGTCTATGTATCAAAAAAGCAGAGCAGTGTGGTGGAAATGTCCTGGGCTTTTGGGACAGATTTACTTTTCTATGACCTTAGGCAGGCCAATTAAACTAGAACTATCTGAAACTCAATATTTTCCTCTTTAGAGTTGGGATATTAATGTCTACATCAAAGGTTGACAAGCAGATTAAACAGGAAAAACATCCATCCATATTTCAGAAATTTTTAATGGTGTAATTATATTTTCTTTCTTTTTTTTCCTCTCCCCTCTCTCTTTTCTCTCTGTAAATATTTGTCTAGCACAAATTAAATAATGAGAATGAATTGCTGTTTTGCAACATATTGCTTTAAACACAATCTGATTCTTCTGCGAAATGAAGGGCTTTTACTATATGGTCTCCTTTACAGCTTTACATCTTGGGATCTCTGGTGACTCCTAGTCATTAAAAAATGATAAGTTATGGTAATGCACGTTGTTTAAAGGATCTGGTTAAATACATGAAGGATTTCAGGAGAAAACAATCTCATGTTAGAAATTTGGGGCCCTTAACATGATAATTTTATTTATCAGGAAAATTCAGTAGATATTTGGGACTACTAGTTCTCATCAATGACAAGCAAATGGAGCATTACTCTGCAAACATCTATTAAGTATGTGTTTTTTGTTTTGGCAATTGCTATTTTTTAATACTTAAGAAAACTCAGTACCTAACCACTTACCATCATAGTGAATGTTAGTATTTACAACATGTGTTCTCTGGATATTCCCATCCCTACTGTTCATCTAACCTGGATTCTTATCTCAGGGCCCTCTCTGTGACTCTCTTAGTGTTGCCTGAGATGTCGTCACTGCTAATCTAGACATAAGGCATGGCCAGTGCATTCTTCGACTTGTTCTTGGAACTACTGATTTCTCCTTCCTCCTTCCTAAAGTTCTGCTCCAAGAACCATCCTCATGGTCCATCACATGGACTCAAGTTCCTCTCCGTTCACTTTCCTCTTCCCATCTCTTCTTTCTGTGCTGAGAGTTCCATTTCCCTGTTTCTACCCTGTGAACAGATTTAAAAATAGCGACTCACATTGCTCTCAAAGATTCCCTTCCTCAGCATGTTGAAACCTGAACCCTGGACCCCAGTTCAATGAACTCAGCTTCATATGTGACTACTGCCTGCTTTCTTGAACTTTGTTCCACCTACCTGTGCCTGTACCTTTAGCTAGTTTGCCAGATAAAATACAGGATGTCTACTACACATGAATTTCAGAGAAACAATGAATAATTTTTAGTATATGTATGACCCACGTAATATTTAAAAATACTTATACTTAAAAAATATATAGTTTTTGAAACTCAAATATAACTGGATGTTTTAGATTTTTATTTGCTACATCTGCCAATCCTGCCCTTTCTAAAACTGGGTGCTAGCTCTTTCCTTATCTTTGCCTTATTGTGTGTGTGGGTGTGGGTATGTGTGTGTATGGTGGGGCCTAGCACTATAATTATCAGATTTTGGATAATTAGATTATTTTGAATGAAAAATTATTTAAATGTATTATTTTTTCCAGTTATCCTACCCACACCTATTTAGATAGCAATTTTAAAAGTAGCTCGTCTTGGGTTGAGCCCGTGGTGCACTCGGGAGAGTGTGGTGCTGGGAGTGCAGCAGCGCTCCCACCGCATGTTCGGATCCTATATAGGGATGACCAGTGCGCTCACAGTGCTCACTGGCTGAGCGTGGTGCGCCCAGTCTCAAAAACGACAAAAAAAAAAAAAAAAAAAAAAGTAGCTCTTCTTTATTAAGCTTTTCCAAAACATTCAACTTAGTTTCCACAAAAGTAACACACATTTTTCTTTTCTGTTTCAGTAGTATTTAATGCATTATGTAATTAAAACAAGCTGATCTAATATAGCACAGTTTGGGGAGCAAACACAGTCTCTTGGTAGTATTCAATTAGAGTCAGCAGAATTGCTGAGCTAACTTTTCTTCATATACTTCCAACAAATCAATATAGTACAACAGACTGAAGGCAGAAGCAGGGTTAGTATTCAACTGCCTTCTATTAAACCAGACATCTAAAACATTTCTAAACATATAACAACGCTACACTTCTCACAAGTTGTTTTTGTTTGGTAACAGTTACTTTTAAAATAAAAATGTTATATGTTCACCTGTAATAGGTTTATTATTATTTAAATAATAATTGAAATAGTAAATGCATATTTTAAAAGTTTCTTAGCTTTAATTTCCAACATGGTAACTATTGATGAACATAACATACAAAACGAACCTCTTTGAGGAGCTCAACAATTTGTAAGCATTTTAAAGGGGACTGAGACCAAAATGTCTGAGAACTGCCATTCAAGAACATACAGTGAATTATGGATCTCGATCATTCTGTTTTGTAAAGCAGATGAGGAGTGCTAATATAGCAAATTAGATAAGTGGACATAGGTTAAAGGAGCCTCTCCTAATTTCTTTTTTTAACTTTGTATTAGAACTTTTTGGATATTATGATAAACACTGTTCTGCATCCCGTAGGGCTTCATTGTTCACTTCGTAGGTGGAGTACACCTCCAAGTAATTCTTTCAGAGAGCCTGAAAATGGATATTAAATGTTTCTAATTCTGAAAATGCCTTTATTTGTACATTGCCCTTGAAGGCTGGTTTGTTGTTAGTTCTGGGTTTTAGGTCAAATTATTTTCACAAGTTATTATTGTTTTAGGATTGTCACATAAGATTAAATCTCTGCTGTTATTTAAAGGACTATACAGCCTCCAATAAGCATCACACTTTAAAGAGCTGTGAACTACTCTCCACCACTTTGCCATCACTATACTTGGCAAGACGAGCATTTTGATCAATTTGTCTTTAATGATTTAGAGCTACACTGTCCAGTATAGTAGCCACTACACACACGTTTCTACTGAGCACTTGCAGTGAGGCCAGTCTGGATTAAGACGTGCTATAAGTATAAAAATGCACACTAGATTTTGAAGACATCATAAAAAGTATTAAGATATACTTCCACTTGTTTCTTTTTATATTTTTTAAATTGTGGCTAGTAGAAAATGTAAAATTACTATGTGGCCCACATGATATTTTTCTTGGACAGCGCTGATCCAGAGATAATGAAAAAGAAGACAGAAAAAAAGCAATTAAAACATAGAAAGAAGGGTGGTATGTAGAATTTAATGAGTGAGGGCCAGCCCAGTGGCGCACTGGAGAGCTCACTGGCTGAGCGCAGTGCGGGCGCAACACCGAGGGTTGTGATCCCGTTGCTGGTCCCCGGTACGGGCGCGACACCGAGGGTTGCGATCCCATTACCGGTCAGTAAAAAAGACAAAAAGAAAAAAAAAAAGAATTTAATGAGTGAATGGAATAAAATAAATTTGTGTTTGAGGATTCTAGGTATCAGAAAGGATAGGAAGAAAGGTTACCATACCGAGAGAAAGAGAAATGAAAAACATGGCAGCTAAGATGGGCGGCGTGGAGAGAGGGTTTGATCACTAACAGAACGGGCCATATTTGGTATTACCATGCTCATCATGAGAACATGGGAATTATCTGCTTCAGACTGTACATAGCAGGTGTTTTTGTCAATCTGGTAACATTTGAAATGTGGATGCTTAGTATGTTTTATTTAATAATCATGTATGAAACTTTAACTATGAAATGAACTGAATCTCTGTGCTACAATAAAAAGTTTAGGCTTTTTCTTCATATATACTAGTAAGTCAACATTTCTTCACATTCATTATTTATTCTGTCAATAAATATTTGATTTCAGCTATCTGCTAGTTACTATCTTAGGAACTCACTAAGAGTTAACTTATCATGTAAGATGAACACTGAAAGACTGAATCCTTGCATGCAATTACTCCTATTTCTTATTCATAAATAGCTCGCACTATTTCAAAGTATTTCTATGGCAGTATGTTTATATAAAGAGAGATTAATGACCTTAACACCAAAAAATAATATGCTAATATCCAGATTTGTCTTATGGGTAAGGAGAAAACATCTTAAATAATGTCCAGCCCATGAATATTGATTCCCATTACCTGAAGGACTCCTTGTAAACCCACCTTTATGAGCAGTGCTCTTACATTGGAATAAGTACATATTCTTGTTTCATGGGATAAGTAGGTTCAAATGTTATTCATTATTATGTGTAAGAAGTATTCATGGAGGTGTTTTTGAAATATGAGCATTAAGGTCATATATAAAAAAACGGCTATTTCAATTAGATTTTATAAATATTGAGAACTGCTGACAGCTTTTGAAGTTATTTCTTTAAGAAAACTTAGTAATTAAGCTGAACTTTTAATCCTTAGGATGGCTAAGTCAAAAATGTAGGGCGAATATAACAAAATATTAAAATATTAATAATGCTATAGAATTGCACAGAGCATTTTTTCAAATAGTTATGTGGTGTGTGCATGCACATGTGTGCACACATATTCATTTGGCATTGGCCAACTAAACATTTCTACCATGTTACATCTACCATATCTTAATTCTAGTGAGTTGGTCTTTCAACTAATAAAATAGGCCTGGATTTTATGCTCACAAGTGGTATTTGGAACTGACTCAACACAGATAAAGATCAGTGATATGTTGTTTCCCTAAACCAGTGCACCTCAAGT